CAGCGTCGGTAAATTTATAAGGCCGAATGATTAACACGTTCGCGCTGGACACATTTCTTTCTACGTACCTCATTGATGTTATAGAAATCTACAAACGAAAATGGCTACCACTTGAGACGACGCATCCACAGGCGTGAATAGGTTAATGCACACGATTTTTTTTACACACACACGAAAAAAATCGAGAAATCATTCAAAGGTAGCGCCCTCCACAGGCGTAAAAAGGTTAATGCACGCGTTTTTTTATACACGAAATTTCTGTTCGACCTCACACACGTATTTTTTAAAAACACACACGTCATTTTAAACACACACGCCATTTTAATATATACATCATTTAAAACACACACGTCGTTTTTAAACACGTCATTTTTAAAACATACATTATTTTTAAATGCACATGTCATTTTTAAACACACACGTCATTTTAATACACACATCATTTTTAATACACACACGTCGTTTTTAAAAACACATAATTTTTAATAAACACGCGTCTTTTTAAAACTAACACGTCATTTTTAAACACACACGTCATTTTAATACATACGTTTTTTTTTATTAAACACACATATTTTTTAAAACACACACGTCTTTTTTAATACAATACATTTAATGCACATACCATTAAAAAATACAGTCACGCCGTTTTTAAAATGCATACATTTTAAAACACACACGCCACGGCCTCAAATACGTACGTAATTTAGAATTATTAGTCAGTTTTATTCTAGTATACACAAAATAATAAACTTACATTCCGCGCCTCATATGTGTTTAAAAATATATTGTTATACATATTGTTGTGTTGTAGAAGAAAACCACGAGATTTACCATGTTCCAATCTCTCAGGTCATCCACTCCTGCAAATACCATGGTTACATTGACTAGTGGAACAGTGCACGTGATGACAACGTGATAGAATTGAACACACAAATAACAAGTCTCGTGGCCCTCTCGCTTTCAACAAGATCTCGACAGCCATGCTCGTCGAACATCTATTTATTGATACAAATTCTCAAAGAATAGGAACAGGAAGTCAGTAGAAGACAAAATATTTGTTTCGTTAGCTTGGGTCCATAGACCGGAAGTGCATCATTTAGGGTATAAAAAGTTCTTCTATACTTACTCCCCGTTATAAATTCATAATGATATTTTAAAATCACATATAACTATTTATAACGATAATTCCACGATGAAGATTCAATTCCAAATACACAAGATAAAATTGACATATCAACTGAATGTAATACAATATTCAATGTACACTACCATATACTGCTATGTAAGTAAGATTACTTAAAAAATATGTTGACACAAATTGAAATTACTATATAACTTGTAATACCCGGCCTCGTAGCGCTATGGGAAGTGTGCCCTCACATCAGGGCAATAATTTCTCGTAACGCGCACGGTCCAGTGCGCCCTGTCGTCATCAATCAAGACAAAACACGTCATTTCACGTCATGTGTTTCAACATTTTTTAGGCCACGACGAGGTAAAATTTTAATTAAACATATAAGGTACGAATCGTGCAGTCGTATTCAGTCCATACAGATTAATACACAGCTGATAATAGATATATTGATTCCATATCCTAGGTACTGGTAATATTAAAAGTACACAGTAGTGGCGTTCACGTTAGAGATCTCGGCACATGCCGAGACTCGGAACCGAGTCGGCACGTGCCGAAACCTGTGTGTGAATGGTCGGGAAATTTCGGCACGTGTCGTGATCCCAGAAATGTGACCGTACCAAATATATACACTGTGTATTTGTTTTTCATATAGATTCTTGTTACAGCAGCATTTCCTATGGTCAATATAAAACATGACAAATACATTTGAGCAGAATTGTAGAATGTCGGTGAACAATAACCGATGAGCAGCGATCGTCTTAACAGTTCTTACGTATCCCACGGATGACATGAAATGTTTAGAATGGTAGATACGTGTGCCGGTTTAACACGTCACGGTGACAGCGGAGGAAATTCATTCAATGTGTTAACACTGCACTTCATTGTATTTTATTAGCGGCTTCGTCTGTGATTCTGTCAAACAGTAAAACATCCGCCTCCAAGTGTTGCAGTAAAACATCTATCCTGTTACAACGCTCTTCAAGTTCACAAATATTTACATCGCTTTCTGTCAATGCATCTGTAGAAAGATTATAATAGAATGAATGAAATGCAGTGCAATATTGTTACTAGCCTAAGTCACTAAAATGATACTACTATGCAACTACTATTGCAATTGCAATTACATTAAATATTCAAACTACTAGGCCAATCTGAGTGCAGTATGACCACCACGTGACACACGACCTAGCACCACTGACTTTAAAATGACGAGAGCGATCCTATTCGTGGTTGTCATCGCCGGTCGGTCGTATTGTTCAGTCGGTGTTTCCAACCACTTTATCACAATGTTATTATCTATATACGAAGCCGTGGGACTGGAAGACCGAGCAGCCAAATGCAGTACACATATATTACTGTACCTACCGATTGCGACCTTTACAATGAATTCATTTAGTTTACAGTACAATATAAAAAATGTAAATATGTTAAAATTTTAACCAGAATCACGTCAGTATGTATCAATGAGACATTTACTACATGCACCACTAAGATGCAGAATTACCGATAAACAAGGATCTTTCCACTGATTTCACGTACGATGAACACTTATACATAGTAATCACAATTAAATAGTGCACTCACGTTCTATTCGTCCTTCGTCTGAGTGAGCATGCGTAGTTACCACCTGCTTATGACATGGTATGTAGCTCATCAGATGTCGCATTTTCTTTGACAAGAAAGCTATTAGATCAGATTCAAGGTTTTCGCTGTATTTTTTAGATCTAGCGAGCGTGCAAGAATGGTCAACAATTGCCAGTAGCACCATTAATACAACCCACACCTCAACTATTACAAATGTAATGAGAATAACCTGAATAAACGTCGAATTTGACAAATGTGATAAATCTTCCTTTAGGTTACTATTAACAACAATGGTTAACAGATTGAACACAGTCGTCCATAAAGTCATGAACCCAACTGACATGCGACAGAGCAGAATATACAGCATGTGGGCAAAAGCAAAGAAAACGAGAAAGAACATGATGGAAAACGACTTGATCTGTGGCCATGCGATCGCTAGAGTCTCTTGTAAAACTCGTATACGAAAATTAAATGCCAAAATGCGGACGTAACTTATAATAGTCATAAATGAAATGCATGCCAGGAAAATGGTGAAGATTTCGTCTATCATAACAAGATAACGGGTTGTACCAAATGTACCTGCAAAAAACAACATAATGTGTATAAGCATTGCCGTCAACTCATTTTTATGAGTTACGCCCCTAGCGATGACATATGTTATAAATAGACCAATTTCCCGGAATTAGTGAGACTCGTGGTGCAAGCGGGACACCCGCCTTTTTCATGGTGCAAATACAAACATGTCAGTTTGTTAATATTCGGTAGGTGGTCTTATTCTTATCAAGTTGATTGGTACCCAACAAGCTCAAAGCGCGGTGGTCGAATTTCATGTAAATAAACAATGTATTTTACACTCGTTGTATACGTCGCCAGGAGTCCCATATAGAACAGGGCGCGACTGAAGGACTTAGTCGCTAGAGGGCGCTGATTTATAAAAACTTTGTGATGGAATTTAAAGGGCGGTGGTATCCGCGCTGCGCATGTGCGACATTTGTGTTGATAAACATTGATTTTCCCACAATTCAATACGCTCTTCTAATGGAAATTACAAGTATGAGGTTTGACCTACACTAATTACCACCGATGACTCATTCGATACCTTCCAATCACCTAACAAAATACCTAATTTAAGCTTGGTAACATCTCATTTTGTACTTGTTGATTTACGCAACAGTCAAAGTCGTCATCTTTGTTAATATGAGACCCATATATCTCGCACATGCGTGGCGCGACGACTACCGCCCTTTAAAACATACAAATTTGTGTTTCGCTGAGCAACATGCAACATGTCAGTGTGCCAATATAAAATGTATTGACGAATAAAAACTCACCTTGTCGTTTTTGTATTTCTTCCAGCGCCATGTTTTTGAGATTTAATCTCAGAAAGTATAACCCTACAACAGTAACTGAAAGCAACGTTATAGTCAGATACCAACAGTTCCAAAAATGTGAAAAAAATGCCAGTTTTTGACGGTACATGCATTTTACCCAGGTACACAACAAATATGCAACCAGTAATATGAATAAAACGTGGAGTACTACGTTAATTAGTATCTCGAAAGTGAAACCGTACACACTTAAAAACTGAACCGAGTCAACACGCCAGTTCTTCAATACAATCCCCGTCTTTTGAAATTCTGTCAAGTACGTCACCAAACTGAAAATGTCTCTATTGCCGTTATACAGAACAAACTCTAAAAATACTGCCCTAGTCTGCCTGTCAATCCAATCGTTACCATACAACGAGGAACACAACTCATTTGCCTCTGGTTCCGATCTACCCAGAGTAGCGATATATCCACCATCATTGTATGCGGTACCCCCTGAACTAACAAATGGGACACCGTTAATTGGTAAACCAAGGACACTACTATGTATCCATGGAGATTGTGACGTCACATTGGTCAAATCAGTAAAGGGAGTCCAAGAAGTATTGTATGCCGCTATATCTTCGTTTACACTTGAATATTCTCCATAACATTTCGTTATTCCACTCACAACTGAATGAGTTTCACACACACCTATAGAAAAAAAAGTTATAAAGTGTTACAAACAATTATCGTTCATGATGTAGATCATGCTTCAATTAAAGGCGTGCTGTATTTACGTTATAATAATATTCGATCGAGTTCCAGTTGTATTAGTTATTGTTCATCCAGTTTTGTCTTTTAAAGATGTTGTGCCCGGCGACATTTTCGAATAATTCAATTATGTCTCTCCGACTTTTTCATGTGCAAATTCAAATTGCAAGTGCATTTGCCACGGAAGCCATATTCATGACAGGGCTGTGCGGCCATCTCTTTGTCAATTAGCAATTTAATGCGCTATTCTGGCGTCAGCCACCAGGGTCCGATCAAACACAAGCACCTGCGGATTTCAATCAATGCTCCCCAAAGCTGCATTAGTTAGTGAATAAATCTCGGCCAGTGATATTTGCTTTCCCATTGAGGCTGTGGCACACTCAACCAGGGTAGGTATCAACGAAAGGAAGGATTTGAACTTGGGTCTACTGATCATGAGTCTGATGCAACAACCTATTTGATACCAGCAGGAATCTGATTTATATATCCAATGTTTATTGATAATACATACTTGTACTTAGTTCTAGATAATAACTCGTCCAGTTATTAGATTTCAATTTGCCTACTTCAATCAACCATTATGAAAGATTTTATTTCCAGTTCAAATCTATATTGAAAATTTAAACCCGGGATACTCTGATAGATTTTTGCGATGTCCAAACAATCGGAAAATGGATCATTCTCTTATGTTTTGTGTCGACCCGTACATCACTTACACCGGGCATAGAATAATAAGCAGCATTGGGATCGGGAGTCAATCCTTATTTGGCCAATTACCCCGGGTAATGACCACCAAAGTCAATGTGAACGTGAAAGAAATACAGATACATAAAGTTTGCCTCAATATAAAGTTTGATGGACGGTCGAAACAAGTATTTCGTTTTTCCCTAAACACCAAGTATACATACCTTCATTAACTCTCAGCTGACGCAATACAACAGGTCCAACAGAATAACTAACTAAATTGCCGAACACATTCATATCATTATTGTCTGTTGGTAAAATGTTTCCATTGTAGTTTTTCCAAGGGAATACACCACGCACGACATCGTTTCTAATCCATTTCCAGAAGGAATCGGCGTTTGTCACCTTTAAAAAGAAATATCAACATATATTTATCGTGTATAGTAACATATAATGTTTTTAGGTGACCCGGGGTATTGTATTTCGTCCATATAACGGAAGACATTTTTGGAAATTCCATGTGAAGTGGTTTGGGTCTGACTTTATCTCCAGCTGAACATGCGCAAGCGGTATTTCTGACGTCACATACAACCATATACATAAAACACCCAGTATTCATAGTAAGTATGACTTATTCAGTAACGGTTGCCATCAATTAATTTGTAAGTAGTTAGTGAGAATATTTAAAGCGTGGACTCAATACGTGCGCACGCGCGGGTATTGAGTCCAACGCGACGATAACTGTGCACGCTAAACCTCAAAGGCTCATGGGTAGACGTTTGTTTGTAAACAGCGATACGCGACTCCCGCGCTTTAACAATACTAGATAATATTTCAACCGATAACATTATTTTTTTTTAAACTGGTGATTGCACATTCATTGTACTGTACATCGCTACTAGTTTCATATACGAAATTCATAAAATCCATATCTAATCCGTCTATACAGCAGCCACATACCTCTGTATTGTATGATAGTATATCGTTGACATTCTTCCCAGCATAATATAACGCATCATTTCTGTAAACAGATGCAATGGCACTCACAAGACTGAGAAATATGAGGTAGAAAACAAGATCCCTCAAGAGAGATATCACTCGTTTTTCTTTCATAAGCACTTCCTTTCCGCTTTTCACTTCTGTCTCTGTGAGAGGACGCTTGTTCGGTAAACCTTGAATAGAAAATGCAATTATTAGTACAGGCGTAATACATACACTATATCGCTATATGACGTGAGCTATATAGGAGTTTAAAGGGCGGTAGTCGTCGCGCCACGCATGCGCGAGATGTATGGGTCTCAATTAAACAAAGATTGCGATTTGGACTGTTGCCCAGATCAACGAGTACAAACTGAGACGCTACTAAGCTTTAATCAGGTATTTTTAGGTGGTTGGAAGGTATCGAAGGAGTCATGGGCGGTAATTAGTGCAAGTTGCGCCCAGGTAAAAAAAAAAACTCGTACTTGTGATTTTCCATTGGAAGAGCGCATTGGATTGTGGGGAAATCAATATTTATCAACACAAATGTCGCACATGCGTAGCGCCGCACTTTAAACGAGATTCATGATATATGTATATATATAGAGACACTTGAGCGTACCAGAATCCTTAGAGACATTAATTGGAGCGCTAACTGATTCCGATTCACTACTAGCCTGAAGGATATGCTCATCAATATATGGCTTTTGAAGTCTTGCATAAATCACGGATATTAATAAGGAGATACCAAATGCCTACGAAAAACATTCAATATAAATACATCATTAATCAACATGTGACACATCCAAAAATAACGATTTATTAAAATGTTTTACAATTGATGCCCTCAAATGTTGAATGAAAATGATTTTTTTTGTTGCTGTACATAGCTATTTGAATTTTATTTAAATACAAATATATCATGTAATATATTTCCAAGTTGGGATGTATTATATCTGTACTTCTACACCAGACAGCATTGTTACTATTTATTATCTGATAAATTTGATTGAAATAAAGATTCACCTTTAATGGATCGATAACAAGAGCCGATAAAATTAGCGATGTCAATTGTGACGTCATCCATTCCTCTGACGTTTCCTTTCCCCATTGTAGACTGTATAATATTACAAAGAAAGAAGGTACTACCATGGCAATCACTACCAGTCCCCATGCAATGATAACAACCCACCATGGCCAAAGGTTAGTGCTTTCTGTATGTCGACTGCCGACAACTTTGTAACGCTGACTAGTCCGTGTCCTGCGAGGTGAGGATTTCTGGAAAAGTTTCATGATGATTGCTAGCATAGGTACGGTTACCAAGCAACTGATGAAGCTTATATACAATGTGCCTAAGGAAAGCCTAAATGGTCCTATGACAATCGTTTTGGTGCCTGCAATTATGGTTCCCCCGTCGCCACCGCTTGTGTCATAAAACATAGCATTCGCAATCATTGTCAAATAAATAAAAGCAGCACAACAAGAAAGTCGCTGAAGTCGTGTAAAGGTACTCCTTGTTGGTCTCCAAAACATTGAACCCCATAGATAATCGTCCGATAATTTGTCTCTAGTTGTATTTGAAAATATGTTTTTGAGTGAGGATAACTGCATTGACCCATCGGCTGGTAGTATTCTCTCCACTTTACCGTCACCTTTATCGACTGCAAACCATTTGTAACAGGTGAAGTCGAATCTAAAATAGATTAGGACAGTAGCATTACATATTATAAAGCACGCATATGAATCGATTTAGACAAAAACAATTATAAAGTTTGTTAGAAGCAGCAATTTTACATTAGCTGTATATCATTGTTATTCTATTGATAAAAGTGATTAAATGTCGTCTCTAATTTCCTCTTGAATGTTAGGTTAGTTACCATGACAATACCTTTCCTCAGTTTGAAGATCAAACACAACAATTCTTTCCAGATACCACGAAGCAGCATCCCCGTAACCTGAGTGGTCGTGCCATAAACGAATGTACTGCAATTGTCCCAAATACTCGGGTACAGCCATTACAAAGTTAGTAACACTTCCACGACCGAGACTCTGGGGGAATAAAATAAAGATACAATGATGATTTATCGCGCTGATTGACTAAATTTTCAGGCACAATAATCCGGTTGTCAACCATCTTCCGAACCGCACGGTCCCGTGTCTTCGACCTATAGGCCTCTACATCGCGACCTAAGGCCTCTACATCGCGTAGGCTAATTGCGTATCTTAAGCATGAGATCTGATTGGGTGCGCCTCGAAACAAGGCGCCCAATCAGCTTGGACGTACCAAATTATAAAACAAAATTCCACTTCCTGTTTTTGTCGCTATGAAGACATCCTTCCCACACAAAACTGCGTCGATTTCCTGTACCTGATGAGGCTTGAGGGCACCCACACCGAAAACTTTCGCAATTTTATCATCACAAATATCACGATTCATGGGCGCCGCCATTTTGTTTAAAATGAAACGCCAAAGAGGGATTTGTAGCACGCAAACTGATTGGACAATGATTAGCCGCAACTGACTACTGGGGACGCATATTTGATGGTCGTTCTGCTGAGGACTGTTTGGAGGCCTGGCCGAATAAACTTAGACCTTGGCTAGCGAAGATGGTTGTCAACGTCTAGATAGTCTTCTTCAAATCTCTACAGATTACATAAATGGAAAACAACAATCTGTACTTACAACGTTCCGACCAGTACCTGCCAATGATCTTATACCAGTGTCATTTGTATCCGAAGACAATATAAACTGTACGTTCGATTTAGTTCCTGCGCACGAATGGATACCAGTGTATACTGTGATTTGGTAGTTGTACGTGCAATTAGCTTCATTATCTGACAATGGAATCAACCTCCACTGCAAACAGAATATGCAAAATAGGTCATTTCCAAGCATAGAATATACAAGAATATGGTTGACTAAAACCGCGGAACCAAAATTGCGTAAATGAAAAATTGATATTAAAATCAATTAAAGAAATGCGTGTCTTGGCTTTAGATTCAGGTTGATTTACTTGATCACCATTTTGCCCTAATCTTTATGTCAAAACCGTAAAAATAATATTTAAGGTGTTTGTTTTTTTTGTTTCTTTGTTTGTTTTTACACATGTAAATCAAATGAACTTTTTATACCGTATATAATCCATAGAGCCCTATCATATATATAAAATATATATAAAACAGTCGTCAAAATTGACGACCCTCATTGTTATGATTACTAAATTTGTCTTTATGTATGTTTGTATTTTAAATACCGGTAATTAATAAAATCAATAAATTCGTTAAGTAAGAAATAATTTAAAACATCTAAACTTTACTTGACGTAAATATATCTTCTGCTGATATGCAAATTAGTGTATATATTTATTAAAATGATTATTCAAATTAGTTCTACTAAGCAAACAATATCTTGTCAGCGATTTTTGTTTGATTTAAATATTTCACTATAAAATGAACTACCTATTCTAGTGAAAATGCAAAAATAGACAAGTAGTTATGCAAAATCGGTTTGACTGTTTCTCGTGACTTATTCTACATTTTGTTAGAAAACATTGTGGTATCCCATTTATTTTCTCACAGTATTCATTGGAAAATACTTAACACGTGACCACATGCATTTAATTGTGAAAATAAATTATTGTTATGTTTACTTCCTGAAAATTGTTTAATGCATTCTTAATTTTAAGTTGATTTTTTTTTGATATAGATAAAGTTTGATTAATCGGCAATTAAATTGCATTCCTACATAGGACTACAATTGTATTCAACTTTAATAATTAAATTACAATCTCACGAATTTAATTAAATCGTAAATAAATGCATTCCTATATAGGATTGTAATTTAATTAAGTTACTTCACAGATTTCGGCTCCGGTTCCGCGTTTTCTAGACAAACTCAAAATATTTAGAAAGATTTTATTTGATTTTCCTTACATTTACGATATCTTGTTTATCCTTTCTCCTTAGGTATATAGCCAGTAACACATAGGCTACAAAAAACGTCAAAATTGTAATCAGAACTGATGAGTTGTCAAGAATGTTCTTTGTAAACACAGTTCCAAAGTCTATTTTGTTGACAGGAACCACAAAATCAGATGCTGTGAACGAGGTTAGATGGTTACATTGACACCTAATAAATCCATCATCGCTACTCGATGCAACCTGTAAATAAAAGAGATTGAATAAAAATAGTCCCGATAAATTATGCTAGCTTTTTTTCTAGAAATTTCCTGTTACTTAGAATGAGTGTAAATTATTTTTCTTTAATGAGATGTATTCTAGCTTAAATTAAAACATTTTGAAAGTTGCCGATGTTTGTTCGTGATGTGATATGTATGTATTCCGCAATAATCTTTGATTTGCAAAAAACAATAACTGCCCAAAATGTTTAGCTGATGTATGAAAGTTTACAAGTTCACACCACTAATGACCACAAATGCGACAGACTGTAGTTCGCTGTAGTTCTACCCCCCCCCCTTAGCTTCTAGTGGTCAACCTCTAATGACGTAAATTTGTGACGAGCCAACAAATTCGAACATTGGTTTTAAAAAATATCACCGAAAAACTTACCATGCAACCATCGTCTTCCCATTGTTTATTATGTGTATTCCAGTATCGACACATATGTAATCTAACAGACAGTGTTCCATTTTGAGTTAGTGCGCCACCATCTTCCGAATTTGCGGGTAGTATATCGATTGTAGTGGATTCATTCGTTTCATTTCTCGTAGAGTTTATCTGATATAAGGTCGTTCCGTTTACATGGATGTCATTTATTTTATCATTTACTGCAAGTATAATGTGATTCCTAGATCATTTTTATGATTTTTAATATGCGAAGTTCGTTTTGTTTTTTCAACAAATAAGCACTTTTACTTTATTGAATATATGTCATCTTTGTTTACGTACAGTCAATAGCTGATTTTCCTTTCAACCGCGAGATCTCGCGTATGGCGTGAAAGACGCGGACCGAACGCCTACCGCTAATATCGAACGATTTGATTTTGAACTCGAAAGTTCTTTTACGGGGAATATTGAATTTGGATACCCTTGCTTCATCAAAGGTGTACAGCACATTATTAAGCGTAGATACCGGTATATCTTCCAAACACTTTCGCGTTTGTGAAATCCTATGCGATGTTTGATGCCACTACAACATTGTGACCTTTGTTTGTCCTTTTTTTTTACGTTTGATTTCACGCATAACGCGGGATCTCGCAGTTTTCAGAAAATTGTGAACCATGCAGCTTACCATCCAACTTAACAAGAACATTGTATATACCACGTTTCTGTGTTGGTATCATGATTTCATAGGGATAACTACCACCAGCGACATATTTTTTATCGTAAGTCTTTTCACTTGGCAAGTATTTGTAACCAATATAAACTCGATACACTGTCGTCTGCATGCCGGTGAGAAAGTTCAGAACCATCGAGCTAGCAGGAAATGTTACATTGGCGTAGAAC